GGGGGGGGCCCCTGTTCACAGGCCCCCGGAAGCCATCTGGCGGCAGCTCAGCTGCCAGAATTTCTTCCAGTGTAAAGCTGAGAGTCGGCTTTACACATGTGAACAGAGTCTCAGCGACTAGTCTGTTTACGGGGCCTGCTGCCAGTGATGTACAGCACATGTCTTTGGCAGCAAAATGGACAAAAGCCTGTTTACAGACAAGCCTCCCTCCAACATACCCAGGAACCTTAGGTACTCAGTTACACACAGACTGCCAACAAGCATGCAGGCATTTCTTTCATATTAGAAGGCTCATGCTTTTCAAACTGGAAGGACCTTCTAATGAATTCACCTTATTAAAGTTTGTTAAATAACATTTGCTAACTTGGAAAAGGTCAAAAAAATATAATCAAGTATATTATTTAAGTGAACCTGCGCCATTGAGCATGCAAGCACGCGATCGAACCACTACAACAGTTTTAAAGGAGAACTATGAGATGAGTGATTTCCACTCACCTCATAGTTCTAAGCCGACCTGTGACAATGAGACTGTCACAGGTCGGCTCAGTAGATCGGGAGGTGAGCGAACACATACCGGGTTCCCTCACCTCTCGATCCTGTCACGGCTCTCTGCCGTGACAGGGGGAGGGGCTGGATTCCCCTCTCCCCGCTCCGATCTGCCAGCGCTGACTGGCGGAACGGACGGGGGAGGGGGCGGGTACAGCTGGCTCTGCCTCTAGATAGGCAGAGCCAGCTGTCACTCACGCAGTTGGGCGGATCCCGTCATCTACGTCGGGATCTGCTCCAGGTGCGGCGTCTCAGTATACCGCGAGCTGCAGCTCGCGGTATATTGAGCCTAGGGTAACGGGAGGACGCTAGTTTGTGTCCTCCCGTTACCCTAAGGAGAACTATGGGGAAAAACACTGACCCCATAGTTCTCCTTTAAGCACAGGGGTTTTTGTCAGGTCTTATAAAGAGGTGGGTGATTCTACTGCATGTGTTAATTTCTACATAGTTACATTCCTGACATTTGAGCTTTTGTCAAGGTATGTCCCCTTGCAGGAAGTATGTGGCATATGTGCTACACAAACTACCTCCTTTTCATTGGTGCTGTTTCCCATTTTACACTATTGCAGACATAGAGATTATCACTAATCTTTATTACACGACTGTGGGCTTCTAAGGCAGGTGTATCCAAACTTCGGCCCTCCAGCTCCCAACTACAAATCACATCATGCATCTGTCATGCCTATTACTGTCAGGGTCTTGAAGATTTTTATGGGACTTGTAGGTCCACAACAGCTGGAGGGCAGAAGTTTGGATATCCCAGTTCTAAAGGTTTCACCAACTGCTGCATTTCATTTGTTGATATGACTCGGGCCATCCAGCTCAGGTGTCCATCTGGACACCCACATTTGCTGGCTTATGTAAAGTGGAATTCTGGAGTGCTTTCTTAGGGAGACTATGTACATTTTAAAGAGGAACTCCGGGCAGAATGTTAACCCTTGCAGTGGGTTAGGTGCTCATTTTTGTTTATGCTCCATAAAAAAAGGTTTTATACTCGCCTGATTCTCAGGGCCAGCAGAGCTTTCTCCAGCCTCTCTCCTGTCCCTCGGCATCCTGTACACTGTATTGGAAGTGATGACTCATGGATTCCCAGACCGCTGCAGAGGAGGGAGTGAGACGCTCTAGGGACTTGTCTACTTGCTGGCCGGCTCAGAGGTTTAGATGAGTATAACTTTTTTTTTTACCCTAGGCAAAAATGAGCAGTTATCCCTTGCAGTGCGGGGGGGGGGCAAGTGTGTAAGGGCAAGGGTTAATACAATTTCTGCCTGAAATTGTACTTTGTGTTTTTATAAAATGCTTTCTGGCATGGTTACTTTCTATTTTGCACAAGCGTGTGCCTCCATTATGTCTTTCTAAGATATAAAATACTTTTGTATCCCTCATTAGGACTGTATCATCCATACTGGTGCAGACAGTACAGAATAGGAAGGAAAAAATATAACTGACCAAAACCTTTTTGAGTCTTTCTTCTGTGCGCTGCGTTTGGTTTATCTCAATGCATGCCCTTGTACATATGCACAAAAGCTGCAATATTTATTTTTGTCCTAGAGCAGTGGTAATTCACCCTTCTTTTCTTTATCCACCCGTATTTTTAACTTTTGCCTGGAGAATGTATGTTAAGAATAAAATATGGTTGCTAGCACAAAGCTGTGCATGAGAACGACTCATACACTTGACATTTAAACTGACGGGCTTCTGTTGTTTTTAGCATGATAAATGTGAGATTGTTCTGTAATTGCTGGAAATGGAGGGTGAGTGGGTGTTCACAAGCTGTACAAAATGCGTGTATTTCATGGTATCTTTTAAAAGGAAACACAACGCGGTCTAGTAATTGGCTTGAATCATACATGTCTTGGAAACATTTTGTAGTGAACTGGAATGTTACAAATAATGTTTTTGTTATAACGTGCTGTAATGTAATATATTCCATTCTTTCTTCTCCAGTGGTGTGAAAGATAAGAACTTTATGCTTCATTATGAGGTAAGCTTGCAAGATGACCTGACCTGCACTAAGCAATATTTATTCCACACAGTTAATTAAAACCTACACACCTCATCGTATTTGTTAGGTTCAGTTGTGTTAAGTAGAAATCTGATTTATCTTTTTAAAAAATTTTTTATCTTATTTTTTTTTTCTTATTACTTGTTTTTTTAAATAATCTTAGTATCTTTTACTGTTTATCATTTTTATTATTATGTTTTACTTATTTTTTCATAATTTTTATTTTATAATGTTTTATCAAATAATTTTTATGTTTTCACTTAACTTTATTGCTATCACACAGGAGAAAACAATCCCCTGTGTGATGGCATATGGAGGTGACAGGTTCTCTTTATTGACCCTGTCACCTCCAATACAGGAGTTCTAGCACGACACTCGGCTCTTCATATCGGCGCTGATCACATCTCTCTGCGCTCCCTCTCTTCTCTCCTCCTGGCCGCTCTGAAGCTGTAGAATTTTCAGTGCAGTTTATATATTATTTATGTGTATATATATCTATATATAGATCTATATATATAGATCTATATATACAGTATATAATATTAAATGCGCCCATTATTCCTGAACTACCTTTTTATCTTGGTCAGTGGTCTTTGCTTTCAGATTTTATGTGATTTTAAAAAAAAAATGGTAACCCTGTCACTTTGACAAACTGTTTAGTATGCTCATTATTTCCACTACAGAACATACATGTTTTATATTTCAGTTTCCACCGTATGCAACAAACGAGATTGGCAAGGTGGGGATGAATAGGAGAGAGCTGGGCCATGGTAAGATTTGTATATGGATTTCACCATACTAAGAGTTACTTTTGCAATGTCATTGCCATTGACTCAGATATGTGTGGCAAAATGCTTACTAAAGTGTCAAATAAATGCAGACACAAAAAGGTGCCCATGCTTACCATATGCACCTCATCGAATGCTTCAGGAGTACCCCACAGCCAAGCAAATGTGCTATAGCAATTGCCTCTGTAAGTGGAAGTCAGACATGCCCCATCACGACGTTCCACACTGCTATGTGTCTGATCATCCAATTTGAGCTCCATGTATTGCCACTTGAAAGGCAGTGGATAGTTTTGGCTCTCCAGCTATTGTAAGTTGGAATTTGCAAATCAGCAGGTCTTGAAAAATCCACTCGTCCTCTCGCCTGTGGCGAGAGGACGCCGGAGCCGGACTTGTAGCTTTCCGGCCGACTGTTGTAATTAAACGGCCGGCTGGGAGCTTTACATTCTAGAGACGCCCGATCACTTGTATTGGCTGCGGTTTTACGAAGTCATCTGCTTTATCAGCTTAGAGACCCCTGATGTCTCCATAAAGAGGATCTGTCATGTAAATTGGCTATCACATAGGGGATTTCTTAGCCCCCTATATGATAGCAATAAAGTTAAGTGTAAAAAAAAAAAAGCAATAAAAAAATTAAAGCATTAAAAAAAACAACACTTAACTTTTTAATTCAGCAGGAATCTGCCTGTCGGTTGCAGTAACTTTTTGGGTGTCCAGGCAGCTGCGGTTGTTGAATACAATATTCGGCGGTTGAGATTCCTTTTATCCACCCTTCTTAGTTTGGATAGGGGAACTGATTTGATTTTTAGAGAAAATGAGCCATGTATGGCTACCCTTAAATGAGGCACCACCGCAATTAACCCCTTACACACATTAAAGGATGCCCCATGCTAATGTTTTAATGGATTAATTATACAGTTCAGCTAATAATAGTATTTGATATTGTTTTGTTCATAGGTGCTCTTGCAGAAAAAGCTCTAAGACCAATCATTCCAAAGGATTACCCCTTCACAATAAGAGTGACTTCTGAAGTACTAGAGTCAAATGGTAAGTAACATATAAAGGGCACAGGAAGGTGAACAACAGACACAGAGATGTACACTGAGTGGCCAGATTATTATGACCACCTGACGTTTGTAGGCTAATTAGCTATAATTTCGCGTTGAAGTTGCTAGAGGGCCAGACCATTATAAATAGGGAAATTTGTCGATCTTAGGGCAGAACGGAGAGTGGCAAGACTGGTACAAGACAACAGAAGGGCAACAGTGCAGTGTCAGATTCCTCGCATCACCTTTCAACATGTCGTGGAGTCACGAGGCGGCCCAACGAAGTCATCTCGTGGAGTTATCTCGTGGCCCAACGAAGTACTGATGGGGTGGTCATAATAATCTGGCCACTCAGTGTATATCAATCATGAAGGATATAGAAATCACTGTGGGAGTTGTAATCCTTCAGTGATCAATAAAAAGCAGTATATACAGTTTATAATGGATCTGTAGTTTCCTGGCAGATTCTTTTTTTGGGGGGACGGTGAAAGAGCTGAGCATTAGTGATGTCAGTGGAGGATTGCAGATAGGTCAGCACAGGCAGCAGTGCGGGAAGATGAGTGAATTTGGGGAGGATGGGGTTGTATCAGTGAGTGCATCAGTATGGCCCAATAGCTGTCACTCGTACATTGCTCCATTACTAGTACACCAAGAGGTGATAATAGAGATATAATTATACTGTGTTAATTTTAAATTAACTTTTCATGAGAGTAGCATGGAGGTTGCCACCGCTGATCACCTACTGAAAATGCTAGTTGCCTGGCTGATATGTTGGCCCATTCACAATATCTGATCAACTAACCTGTGACAAGCATGCAGGAAGTGAAGTCGGAGTCATCTTATCTGCATGTTTGTGGTGGATAAGTGAACTCAATAGACGTATCCTTTTTTCGTTATGCAACTATTGAAGCCAGAGGGTCAGCACTAGCAACCAGGAAACTAGTATTTGCAAAATGAGACGTCAGCAAAGGCAGCTTTTTGTTTTTCTCATAAAAGTTTCAATTAATAATATGAAGTAAACTTCAATATCTGGATAACAAGCTAACACAAAGTTTTGCCAGAGTTCTGTTGTAATTTTGATTAAATCAGACCTCCTCCTCAGCTTAATACATATATATTTTGGTACTCATGTGCTGTAAAATGATCATTGAGTTCTCTGGGCAAAATTTTTAAGCATGCTGAAAGAAGTCACTGCTATGGTCCCGTTCCCACCTTGGTGTTTTGCTTTGCATAACTGTGTGCACTGAAACGCGCAAGACAAGAAATCCCATTTATTTCTATAGCCACCGTTCACACCAGAGTATAGCGTTGCACATAGAAAAACGCCTGTAACTAGAAAAAGTACATGCGCTTCTTTTTGGCATATTCCTAGTTAGTCTTTGGTGACAAAATGCGCTGTAAATGCCTTGGAAACGGGTGACCCAATTGTTTTTGTGTACGCTAAAGCATGCGACTTAATGTACTCCTGTCTGACATGCAAAAAAACCATGCAAAAACGCTGTCGCCTAGGTGTGAATGCAGCCTAAGGCCCCGTTCCCACTGCGCGATATGCAAATTTGCGCGATTTGCCGCGCGATGTCGCGTTCAAGCTTGCATTGAGCAAGCTTGAATCGCGGCTAAATCCGCTCAAAAAAGGGTCCTGCTGTAGTGACACACGACCCGCGACAGCAGGACCCTTTGCCCCATTGGATTGCATTGGAGCGCGATATCGCGGTAATTTGCCGCGATATCGCGGGAATTACCGCACGAGACATTGCTCAATGTGAACGGGGTCTTAAGGTGGCCATACACCTTACAACCATTGTACAACTTCTTTTGTCCAGACATCTCACCTTTTGTTCAATTTTCGTTCAACTAGCCCATCATGCACAGACCAGTGTAGATCGCAATTAATGTTCGTCAGCGCGATTAACTGGCCTTCATCGATCGAAAGAACAGGTTTTCGTTTGAGCATGTGTAGTTTTTCATGAGATTTGTTTTGTTGTACATCAAGGCCACTAACCTGTCGATTTTTCGACCAACTAAACAAAAAATGTTCTAGCCTGCTTAAAAGACAAAAATGGGACAAAAAAGCGATTGCAGACAAAAATTTCCAGATAAGTGTAAGGTGAATGCAATAGCCAGCAGGGATGACGTCTCTATCCACTCTGTCTAGCACAGATGCGGAATTTGAGTGAGTTCTCTTGTTTGGCTTGTGGAGGTGAACGGGAAAAATATAGGCTTTATTTTCACAAGCTTTGTATTTGTGTTCAATGACATATCTAGAATGGTCTTTGGGCAATGTGTGAGAAATGGGATTGTGGTAGTGATCAGAAATATGAACTTGTGAAAACCTCAATGCTGTTTGTGCTCGGAGCAGTACTACTACCCTACACGAGTGTCAGTCAGCATGTCCTATTCAGTGGAAACTCCTTAAAGTAAAACCAGAGTGGTGATGAGCAAAAAGAATCCCCTGCAGATCACCTATATCAGTAATTTGCAAGAATTTTAGAGTTTTTCTGAAACTTGCCTGCTTTTGTTCTCCCTGCCCTGACTAATATCTTGCTGGGATAGTTCTCAAAACTGCGAAGTGGAAGGGTCTACCTTTACTGAAAAATGGCCTGGCCAGGAAGGGGGTCTAAACACCTGGTCTTGAAGTGGTTAAATAGTTCTGGTGTTTAATAAAACAAACTGCAGCCTCTTCACTTGTGTAGAAAACATATCTAATCAAAGATGATTCTTTGTGCAGGGCCCCCTATAGTTTTTTACAGAGTTACTGCGGCGGGTGGGAGAAGAAACTGTGGTACAGTTCTTCAGTGCCTCCAACGCCTTACCCGCCCGCTACCATCACCCCCACAACTGCCGGCCGCAATAGGTCTTCAATCCAGAGGCCGGCAGCAATAGCCAGACTGCTATTGGCTATTTTAAATTGCAGTAGCCAATAGCAGGCTGGCTGTTGCACCCACCCACTGCCTGCTGTCAATCAGCAGAGGTGGACCTAAAGGAGAACTTTCTCCTTCAGGTCCCTTCTCTGCTGATTGACAGCAGGCAGTAGGCGAGTGCAATAGCCTGCCATTGGCGATTGCAGTTTGAAATCGCCAATAGTATGCTGGCTATTGCTCCCAGCCACTACCTGCTATGCTTACATTCAGATGTGAGGCAGCTGTCGTTCCCCAGCTAAAGCTACTGAAATGGAAAGGTGACACTAGGGGTATAATAGACTCCTAATGTCACCTTAAAGAGAACCTGTCCTCTCCAATGAGTTAAAAAAAAAGTTTAAAAGAATAAAGTTAAATAAAATAAAAAATACCAAAAAAAGAAAATTAAAGTCCCCCGTCCGCCGTGAAACGCCCTGGCTCTCAACTTTTTTAGCTGACTCCTGGATTCAAAGAAAAATAGTCAAGCCCTTCCCTAGACAAAAAAGATCACTTAACCCTTGTAGTGCAGGGGTAGCTCCACTGCAATCGTTTAGATGTTATTTGCCCGGAGTTCTTCTATAAGCCTTGAGGTTGGGTGAACAATGTGTGGGACGAGCTGAATCTGGTGAAGCACAAGATCAGCTTGGATCTTGGAACAATAAAGTTATATTGAATGCTGACGAGTGTGGTCTTCATTTGATAGCTGTCGTAGCTATATACTGGTTCAAATGGAAGAGCCCTTTTAATACCATTAAATAACAGCATAGGGTGACCTAGCGATTTGAGTTTTATCAACTTTTTATTAAAAGTTGACTTCTAAGATTGGACGAAGTACTATAAGGTTATTTGTCCCTTCCTGTTCATCTGCATTTGTGGCTGAAGTGGATTCGATTCTACCATAGAGGCAGCTAAAGTAGACCTGTGTCCTAAAAATTAAATAATCCTGTGCAGTCCCCAGGGTTAGATTCTGCAGCTGAAATATTGCCACAAAGGTCGCCTAATGATTGACAATGACATCTTCCGGTTCCATTTGATCACCGGTGTGATCTTGTTTCTTATTGATTTTGATGGTATCATTCGGGGGGCAAATTAAAATGGAGTCCAGGAGCCAGTCTGTCTAATCCAGGAGAGAGCGGGATCTTTTTTGGCCAGCTACATTGACAACAAATAAAGAAAAACCTGAAAAGTTAGGCGTTTGCTGTAAATTTTAACCCCTTCGTGACGGGAGACGTACACTGTACGTCCAGCCACAAAGGGACCAAATGACTTGTCACGTACACTGTACGTGACGAGTTATTTGCTGCTTTAATTGGTATCATTGTCACAAGGGTTTCTAATATGTGTGTTCTGTGCTCATGTATCAGGTGATTCATTGCGGTTCTGAAGAGGAATGCAGTTTGACTGCTGCATCTTTCTGGGGATGAAGTTCACTCGGTTCATCCTTGTGGCTATCCCTGTTGTTGCTTCTATCATGTTTGGGGTTCACGTTCTGTATTTTTTCATCTTTTCATTCGCTGCTTCTGCATTTCATGTGGTTAAGGAAATGTTCTGGAGAAAACACTGTCCTACATCAGCTAAATCTCCACCAAATTAAAGACACTATACATATGTCAAAAACTAGTACAGTGACTGTTTCTTCTTAAAGAAGAACTATGGGGCAATGTTTTTTTCCCCATAGTTCTCAGGGTCACGGGAGGACATATACTGTGTCCTCCTGTGACCCAAAACTCGTGAGGACATATACTGTGTCCTCCCGTGACCCAAAACGCTATTGCCCACTATATGCTGAGAGCGCCACAGCCAGGACGGATCCCGACAATACTGTCCCGATCCACCCCGCTGGCTGATTGACAGCTGGCTCTGCTTCTCTAGCGGCAGAGCCAGCTGTGCACACACCCTCCCATATCTGTCCCTCCAATCAGCGCTGGAGGATCGTGAGAGGAGAGGGGGGATCCCTGCCGGGAGCGGTGACGGTCTGCAGGGAGATGATCGGGAAGTGAGCGAGCGACGGTATGTTTTCGCTTGCTTCCCAATCAATAGAGCCGACGTGGGACAGTGTCAATGTCACGTCGGCTCTAACTATGGGGGTTATTATTATACAGGCTTTATATAGCGCCAACAGTTTGCACAGTGCTTTACAATCGCAATACAATTCAAGACAAGATGGTAAGGAGGGCTTTGCCAGTGAGGGCTTACAATCTAAAAGATGAGTGTAAATCACTCACCCCATAGTCCTCCTGTTTAAACTCAAAAACTAAAATGTAATGTATAGAGCTGCAGCTAACGATTATTTTCAAAATCGATTAGTTAGCCGATTATTAAGTTCGATTAATCGGTTAATCGGATAAACAATAAAATAAAGTTTAAAAAATGGCTCCAGTGATAGGACTACTAGTTTGTATTGAGGTTGTAGTCCATCACAGGAGCAAGCTTGGAGCGGTGGAAGTAAAAAAGAAAAAAAAGATAGTGTGGTGTGCAATATAGTGAAATGGAAAGTGTAAAATTATACAGCAATGAATGCAGAATGGCACCGGCTATAGGGGACTACAGTACAGTACAATGTACCATCAGCTATAGAGAAATACAAATCCCAGCAATACATTATAGAGCACCATGTGTGGGAAAGTGCAGGCTTACCTGACCAGTCTTCCAGCAACTTGCTTCTGAGATTGGACCTGTCTATCAGCTGCTGCCATCCCCCCACCCCTGCTCCTCCTTACTACATCTCCCCGCGTCCCTGTGCCGATCGTGGATGTGGATGGGCAGGAAATGTGAGGCGGGGAGGAGGTGCGGCGTGTGGAGCGTGGATGCGAGCGGGTCTAGCAGCGGCGAGCGTGAGGTGGGGAGGAGGTGCGGCGCACAGCGTGTGGAGCTGTGAACAGGGCTAACTGATGGGAAGCCGATTAATCGATTATTGAAAAAGTTGACAACTTTTTCAATAATCGATTATGTCGATTAGTTGTTGCAGCCCTAGTAATGTATTGCAGCTTTCCAGTCCTCTGATACGGTCGCTGCATTTGTTTTCTTTTTTCAGACTAAACATTTTCTGCAAGTACAGAAAATATCCATTGATGTGCTTCTACATTTCTTTGACATGACAACACAGCACTAAATTCCTAAGCATGTGGTGTCAGTCTTGCCTACTTTATTTCTGATGGAGTACAAAGAACAATTTTATTTACCAAAAGATTTGGTTAGTCTATAGGTTACCACTTCCCATTAGATCAAATTTCCCACCATAGAGAACAAAAACAGACATTTGAGGTACCCAAATCTCAAAATTTCGTATTATATCAAAGTACAAATGTTTTTATTGAAATAACATATTAAAAACCAATAAATAAGTCAATATGTATCAATAGTAATTTTTTTTGACTGATTTTAGAACAAATTACAGTTTGTAGATATTGACATTTTGTATCGGTTTTTAAAGGAGAACTATGAGGTGAGTGCTTTTCACTCACCTCATAGTTCTAGCCGACCTGTGACAATGAGACTGTCACAGGTCAGCTCAGTAGATCGGGAGGTGAGCGAACACATACCGCGTTCGCTCGCCTCTCGATCCTGTCACGGCTCTCTGCCGTGACAAGGGGAGGGGCTGGATTCCCCTCTCCCCGCTCTGATCTGCCATCGCTGACTGGCGGAACGGGGAGGGGGCGGGTACAGCTGGCTCTGCCTCTAGATAGGCAGAGCCAGCGGTCACTAACGCAGCTGGGCGGATCCAGTCATCTAAGTCGGGATCCGCTCTGGCTGCGGCATCTCAGCTCGCGGTATACTGAGCTTAGGGTAACGGGAGGGCGCTAGTTTGTGTCCTCCCGTTACCCTAAGGAGAACTATGGGGAAAAACACTGACCCCATAGTTCTCCTTTAATGTGTTATCTGAATAAAAATGTTGTACTGGGATATAATACGAAATGTTGTGATTTTGGGTTCCTCAAGTCAGTTTTTCTTCTCTATGGTGGGAAATTTGAATAACAAAGAACAGAGACCTCTCCTCATCTCCATAACCCCTCCTTATCCCCATAATCCCTCTGCACAGTCAGAGAGCACAGGACATTATCAGCTCACAAGATTTTTTGGCAAAATTAACTGGTGTTTTCTGCACTTGTCAAACATATAAAGCTTTCAATGCTATACCTAACAGACCTAAAGGCTAAAACAAAAATCAAAATGTCTTGATGGGTGGGTGTTCCTAAGCAGGCTTTATATGCAGGAAGACTGCCTTAGGTAATGCCCACACGTGATGGTGATCATCCATGATTGAAGGAACTGAAACTCGATGAATAAAACGGGCAGATGGCACACTGGCAAGGAAAGAGCTTAAATATTTGATGTCCTCCAGCAATTTAAGTACAGGAAAGGAGCCTGTACAACCATATCATACTGAAGGTAAGGCTGGAGTTCAGCTTTAGGACTCAAGAGATCAGTAGCATGGGAGGGATAAGCATAAACCCTTTTATTCACTTAAAATGTATCTTTATGGACAAACTCAAATGCTCACGCTTGTGTAATATATCTACATGTAATATGGTTAAAAGGACTTGTTTTAATGTGTTACTGTATTCCTATCAGGTTCCTCCTCTATGGCCTCTGCATGTGGTGGCTCTTTAGCATTGATGGATGCAGGTAATTACATTTTTACATTAGTTTATCATTGCTGTCTCAGATATTTTTTCTTTATCATTTTAATATCTATTCATGAAGTGGTTTTTCTGGTTGCAAGGTGGCTATACAGCTACAGTACTAATTCATGTGAGGAACGTCACCCACTCTGTAATACCTAGTATAGGGTTTGTAAATGTAATGCTGTTATGGATGTGTTGCTTCATGTCTCTAACTAAAGGGCCTTTTGCATACAGTGGTCATTTTTCCTTGAAGCCTGCCTGGGCTGTCAATAGGTAATACTGCAAGTGTTTTTAAATACAAAGCCTAGGAGGTCATAGGTAGTCCATTTCACAAATTATTTGACATTTACAAATCTAAACAATAACTTTGTGATGACTAAGCAAATCCTGTACGGAGTCATGAAGGCTGCTATTGTTGACCTCCTTGAAGGACATTTTAGATCCCTGGCTTCCAAGGTGATCCAGTTGCTTCAGTACTTTGAGCCACTGACCTTGAAGAAAACTGGCCATATACATTATATTTTTTCTTCTTTAGCCCCTGGACAGAACTTCATGTTCTGGCCTTGACAGCCGTATACATTCCAGGTGCAGACAGTTGAAATTACCCGGTAGAGTGGTCGCTATACCCAGAAGTGTTCCTGGATCTGTGACACAAGTGGGGGACACCAGATGTGGACCTCCTGCCCTCCAGGTTAAACACCACATTAAACAGGTTTGTATCCAGGTGCACGGATCAACCTGATCTTTGCCTTTACTTTCCTGAAATCTCTTCTTCTGCTCCTCAGGATGGAGATAGTATTCTGGTAGACCTCATAGTTTCGGATTGGCCGAGGCTGATGTGGTTCGCCGACCTGGTAAAACATCTATCAAATGCACAGCGGGCCCTGTCATGCAGATCTTCTGTCCCATGGGCCAATTTGCCATCCTGCTTTTGCCTGACTGGCTTCTGTCAATTTGTGGTCCCCGGCTTTAATGGTATTGCTATTGAATCCCAAGTTCTAAGGGAAAGCAACATATCTGAGTCTGTGATTTCAACAATGCTCATGTTCTCTAAGTTCTACCAGGTGAATGTGGCTGCCGCATCCGAGGCCAGCTTTAAGTGCAAGGTTCTTCAGGCGGCTCTTTGACCTGCAGACAGTCCCTAGTTTCTCTTGTGTACATTGGGCATGTTAGCAAATGCCTACCCCTAAGTTTGACTGCTTTTCAATGTCCCAAACATTCAAGACTTCCTGTGTCCCTCAATGGACGATAACGGGGGAAAGAAAAAGATTTTTGTACTCGCCATAAAATCCTTTTCTAGGAGTCGATTGAGGGGCACAGGTCCTACCCACTGTGCTTATGGTCATATTCTCGGTACTGCTTCACTACAAAACTGAGGCATGCCAGTAGTAGGAGGGGTTATTCCCTGGGCTGGCCTACATGTTTGGTGTTCACCAGTGTCCTCCTGTAGTTGTGTGTATAACTCGTAGGTTAAAGCTGGCCACACACCTTACAATTTATCTGCAGATTTTCTGTGGTCAGATGGAAAAGGTGCAACAGATTCCTCCATCTACACTTAACTGTGTGTGTGGAGTAATCTCCACCTGGGCCAATCTGTTGCACTTTTTCCATCTGACCACAGAAAAGCTGCAGATAAATTGTAAGGTGTATGGGCACCTTAAGACGTCTTGTGTCCCTCATTGGACTCCAAATAAAGGACATTACAGAGAGTACAAAATCCTTTTTAAACAGTTATATATGCCATTGGCTATTTGTAAAATCATTCTATGAATCCAGACTTTGGTTTTCTGCCTCTTTTCATATAGCTGATTTATCCCAAAGAACAAGATCACTTTATCGAAATCTCAGGTATTAGTACTTCATGTCCAATCTCCTTGTCTTGTCTCTTTTAAAACCATTCAACCTTCCTCCCCACAGTTGCTACTCTCTGGGACTGTCAAAGCTTTAGTCAGTAAACTGAAATAAATCACCCAGGCGGTGGATAGAGTTTTTAGTAATCACTAACAAGAGCAATTTGCTAACTTTTATTAGAGCAGGCAGTGCAACTGCCCACCTTCAGTCTGTTTACAGAGCTCAGTAGCTCACATTAAAAAATAACCACAAAAAAACAGATCTAGCAGCGTGCCAACAAAAAAAATAAATGAATACAAAGGTTTTTTTTCCTTAAAACATAACAGGTGTACTGGATGTCAAGTGTGGGCTTGATGCTCATGTACATGAAGCATTGGATGTATATGTTTTTAAAAAATTGTAAAACTAATGCCTAATCTTTTGTGCTTTTAGGTGTACCAATTTCTGCTCCAGTTGCTGGTGTTGCAGTTGGATTAGTTACAAAAGTCAATACAGACAATAATGAAATTGAAGATTACCGACTACTTACAGATATATTAGTAAGTATTAGTCATTTTCTGGTACTGAAGGTGTTGTTAAAATTTTAAACCTGTAACAAGTTGTAGGTTCAGTGTGGGACTTATTTTATTTTTTCTTTACGGGTATCTTTGCTGAGCTGTGTAGGATCAAAGGGGACTCTGACAGAGACTGCTAGTATGACGCTGTCTGAATGTTTATGTAACACTTCCTGCTTTTTACTCCCACCACTTGTGACTCGATACGCTGACATTTCCACTTTTTTCTAGAAGCATTTTCTTGCCTCTTTAGTGTCATGCAATTTGCATCTGCTTTCTGTAGAATTTTTCTTGGCAATCGCATAAATGTTCTGTATATGTAATCCTTTATTTCTAGTCTTCCAACCATAAGTGCAGCATTGCAGTACACTGTTTTGCATGTGTGTTTGTGTGTGTGCACATATACTGTTTGTGTGTGTGCGCGCACACATATACTGTGTGTGTAATATTTATTATATTATACTTTATTTGGTGGATGAGTACATTTATAGTATTTTTAATATAGCATTGCTATCTATTACACAGAGCCCCGTGCTAGCTTTGTGCTTAAAGCCATATGTGCTCCAAGATGGAGACACTCATAGTTTAGAGTTAGGGCCGCACTATGTAGAGGTGCCGTGACGCTTTCACATTTTCTGCAGAAGACGTGTATCTAAACCTCTGTTTTTAACCTTAGCGGTGAGACAAGTTTTTTTGCATGCTGGCTGGTGAGTGTGCTGGGAAACATTTTGCTGTTTTTGTTTATATAAAACTCTTTAAAATGACACAGTATAATGAAGCTATTTTTGTAATTGAATACGTTTAATTATGATTGAATTAGGTGTCCCAGGCATGAGGTGTAAAACTACGACCAATAGACACTTTATATAGTAGAATACTGTATAGGATAATATGTAGATAGGATGGATCTGGCTTTAACATGGTGGTAACTTTTCCTCCGATAATACCTGGCGTCACTGATTACTAATAATTAAAGGGGACAATTATTTTTTAGGGTATTGAAGATTACAATGGCGATATGGATTTTAAAATGGCTGGCACCACAAAGGGTATAACAGCCTTGCAGGTTAGTGTGTAATTGTTTCCTTACAATAACATGGCTATTTCACTAGTATTCAATAAATAAGTGAACTACTCCTTCTTTTTTTTTTTTTTTTTAGGCAGACATCAAACTCTCAGGGTTACCTTTGAAGGTTGTTATGGAAGCCATCCAGCAGGCAAGTGGTAAGTGCTTGTATGCGCTTTAATTAATGTAATATTTTCAATTTTGCTTTTACGCTTATTTCAGACATCCAGCATTTTTAGAAGGAGAGGCTGGCAATCTCCTTGTTTCTCTCAGGACTTATTTACCTTAACCCCATGTGCTGGAGTGGTTTATGCGAAAAGTTATCACTTCGGTGCCAGGATTTCTTCATCAAACACTACTAATTTTCATATGAATGGCTCCCCTCGAACAGTTTAATCTCTGTTCCGTTTACCTTTCTAGAGACTTGTATCAGTATACATTCATTTCTGACACAGTATACCCATGTCCATTTAATAGCATGTTGATTTTGGGGTCAGTGACCCTTCAGGCTGTGTGACCACTGCTTTTCTTGCCCTGTGGCAAAATTAGAAGGGTACAACAGAAGCTCAGGCAGTCTGTATGGTTCACTAAACCTGAAGTCTGGGCTGAAGAAAACATTAGATTTGCCCCCTCAGCTCTGCAAGGGTTAGCTGATTTATCCTGCAGGCTTCAGTACCCTGAATCTGCTTTTCTTCTTTGTCCAACTGGTTGCAACTCTCCAACCTGATCGGGTACCTGCCCACATCCAAGGTATGTCAGACAGTGGAGGAGAGCGCTGGCTACCAGGGGAATGAGGAATAAGACAAGTCCATTCACCTTATTGGTCATCCAGTAGACAACATGAGCAATTAATCCTTGCAGTGTGGAGAGGGGACCTACTGCAAGGGTCACTTTGTTTGCAGCTCAGAGTTCAGGTAAAGTATGGCTCGTCTCTCTGCTTACTGTTGTTTTATCATTTCTTACATCTCAGTATTGCCATTAAAAGCCTTTTTGCATTCGGACTGTTAAATGTAGACCCGAGGGAGAAACTAAAGCGCTATATACAATTTTTTTATTTTTCCTTTCTAGTAGCCAAAAAAGACATTTTGCAAATAATGAATAAAACAATTGCAAAGCCCAGAGCGCAGAAGAAAGAAAACAGCCCTGTCATAGGTAATATAAATTTAAACTTTGTCTTGTGATAATATTAAGCGTCCGCAAATTGAAAAAACAATATCCTGGTGCTGTAGTATAGCAGCTATAAGTAGAAACGTAGCACCTGAATTTATGGTACAAATGTTTGTCAAATATTCCTGGGTAATGTCTAAAATAGTTGAAATTAGTTTAGGAGTTTAATAAATCCATGCACGGTTTTGTTGTAGGTCCAGTAGCAGATATTTTTCCATGTAGATGAGTAGCTCAGGCCTTCAGCTTGATTGCCACTTTAATATTAGAGGGCCTCTACGGACAGGGACTCATACCTTGACTTACTGACCGATTCCATTTGGGCACATTGCTCTACAAGCACGAGGTCCTTGGAGATGCAGCAAAATAACTCGCAACAAACAGACATAGCTATTCTTGTGTTTATGCCAATAATATCAATCAGTTGTGGACCTTCTCTGTTCTATTAACATCTTGAAGGACTTTAGTTTTAGCCTTCATTAAATATTTAACCCCAATGTATCACCATTAGTAAATGTCTCCTTAGTTCCTGTCCAGTGACAGACCTAAAATTATGGATTTGCTATCACTTTCTATCACTGTGACAACAGTCACCAGGCAAATGAAAAGGGATGAAGTTCCCCAGTGTGAAAATGGCAATAAAAATGGATTTCTCAGTCTATCCCAAACCAAAAATAAGTGTTTTGATTATAGATGCAGTAAGACAATTAAGTGTGGTTTTGGGTTTTACCTTGTCATTATACCATTTGGTTTTATACACAAATGTGATCAATTTGGAGCCTGTAAGGAAATGTTCTAAACGAAGTGCTTGATTTTATTTTTGCCTTAGAAAATGTCAACGTGCCTTTATCCAGGAGGGCGAGATTTGTTGGTCCTGGAGGATATAATTTAAAGAAACTTCAAGCTGAAACAGGCAAGTACTGAAGTACATATGTTTTGTATTTTATAAGGAATATTTACAATGTATGTATGAAAAGTTCCCAAGTATTGCGGCTCATTGGGTTTTGACACCTAACATGCTTATATGATGAGCTTCAGAAAGGGCCCCAAACAAGCAGGACATTTACAGGAAACCCCATAAAACATGAGACTTATGAAAAAAATGTTTAAGTTGATATTTAACTCCATAACAAGGACTAGAGGCCACCACCTAAAACTGGTGGAGAAAAGATTTAACCACAAGGGGCATAGGGGCTTCTTTTTAGTTAGAGCGGTTAAAGTCTGGAACTTGCTGCCACAAGCAGCGGTATCAGCTGAGAGTATTGAATCATTCAAAAAGCATTTAGATATCTTCCTCCGAGACCGTAACATACAGGAGTACAGGTACTCTTCAAAACACACAGGGACTCATATACACACATGCACAGACTCACACAGAGGTTGAACTTGATGGACCTGTGTCTTTATTCAACCTCAAATACTATGTAACTATGTCCTTTTTTCTTTTTTTAAGGAGTAACGGTGAGCCAATTAGATGATGAAGTGTTCTCTGTTTTTGCTCCAACACCCAGTGCTATGCAAGAAGCCAGAGAGTTCATCAGTGAAATCTGCAAAGATGATGTAAGCCCGCCTATCATTGTCCTGCACTTGTTCTCCATTCTGCTATATCCATGCTCATTTATTTTCTTCATTGCAGCAAGACTTTGCCCTGGAGTTTGGAGCTATATACACAGCCACCATAACCGAGATCAGGTAAAGAGGAACCTTTTCTAATCCTAAACAACAAATAACTACATTGGCAATGCTTCAGTATAAATGACATATTATCTCCCTTGGGCTAATGAATCTCTATGACTAGTTAGGAATTGTTGCCTTTGTCCTTGTATATTAGAATGTAATCCTGTTATAGTGTAATAACACACTCAATTAAAAAAAAAAAAACATAGTTAAGACATTTTTGGTTGTGTAGCATTCATGTCATTCTAACTTGGAGATCAGTTTATCCTTTAACATGAGCTGGGCCATTTGTGGACGAATGTGTTACCCATAAATTGTGCAGTCTGCAAGCTGCTCTCTTTATTTCAGGAAACGCTGACTGTCCTAATAGACTAAAAACAGACTGAGCTCCCCCATTACATACAATGAAAGTCTACATCTTTGACTCTTTGTTAGGACAGAGTGTTTAAATCTAAATTACATCTGATAATAATATACAGTACAGTACAGTACAGACGGTTAATTATCCTAGTCATCCCATCCCCCACTCCTTTTCATTCAAGTGGAGAATTCAGTACAGAGAAAAACTTTTGTTTAACCACTTGCTGGCCGGGGTGTTTACACCCCCTTCCTGTCCAGGCCATTTTTCAGTATTCAGCGCTGCGGTACTTTGACTGACGTTTATTCCATCATGCAACGCTGTACTGAAATGAATGTAATATCATTTTTGGGGACACATAGAGCTTTCTTTTGGTGGTATTTAATCACCACTGAGGTTTTTTTTATTTATTTTTTACTAAATATAGGAAAAAGTACCCGAACAAAAAAACTGTTTTCCCTTTATTATGTTATGAAACCTTTTATTATTGCCCAATTTTGGGGTAAAATATAAAAGACGGGATCACATTGGGTAAACAGACACCAAACATATGAAACCTTTAAAATTGCGCACGCACGCAAAATCGCAAAAAACTACCACACCCAAAATTGACCATATGTGACGCTTTAAAAGCTTTTACCGCTCATCAGTTTAGTGTCATCTGTGATTGATGGCCCTAAAATTAATGCTCACAGCGACATTCGCGATATGTAACATATGCGGCGTAATGGGCACAACAGTTGTTTTCGCACGTAGTTGCACCCGATGCATGTTTAAGCATGTATGTGGGGGGCTTTTAAAAAAAAGTTTTTCTATTTTTTTTTTACACTTAACTTTATTGTTATCGCATAGCGGGGTAAGAAGCCCCCTATGTGATATCACATTACAGTGACAGATCCTCTTTATGGAGACATCCGAGGTCAGACAACTAATGTCACCTAGGGACCCCCAGAGAAGCTCATGAAGCAGAGATCTGCGGGTAAAAAATGTATTAACCCTTGCAGTGGGGCTAACCCCGCACTGCAATAATTAAGTGCTCATTTTTGCCTAGAGTAAAAAAAAAAAAAGCTATTCTCACCCGATCCTCCAAGCCGATTTGCTCTAAGACAAGTCCCTGGAGCCTCACCCCCAGCAACGGTCTAAGGTCCCTTAGTCATCATGTTCTATAAACAGTGTATAGGGCGTGAGGACGCCGAGGGACATACCATTACTACAGCGGAGAAGGAGACAGGCTGGAGGGAGCGCTGTCACAGCAGGACGGCTTAGAGGATTGGGTGAGTATAACTTTGTTATTTTTGACCCTATGCAAAAACGAGCCCTTAACCCTTGCAGTGTGGGGGGTAGCCCAACTGAAGGGGTTAATAATGGAAAAAGAATTCCTGGAATTCTTTATTAACTCTGTGAAATGGTTACAACTAATCCTTAATTTTATTCCCTAAATTTAAAAGGATCCTAGAATGATAGAAGCACTAACTTTCATTGCTGGCTCATTTTTTAAAGATGCATACTTCAAGTCTGACATCCTGATCCTGGCTTCACTAGCTAGCCAGCCCCGTTAGTAAACTCTTAGTGATGAGTAGAATGCCAGAGAGCAATACTCACCCTTCGCTTCCTCTTCCAACATGCGTACTGCTGTGTAAGAAATGACAAAACACTACTATCGAGGCAGATGATACTCTCCGGTACTATTCCCAGGTCTTTGCAGAAATACATTTAATGATATACTGATGGATCCATAACTAAATGAAATGGAGTGTTAAATCTTACTGGAGCTGTGAAGCAACCCTTTCCTTATTAAATCATAACCGGCATTGATATAGCGCCAACAATTTATGCCGTGCTTTACATACTGTACATTCACATCAGTCCCTGTCCTCATGGAGCTTACAGGTCACTATCTCACATGCATACATTTACTAGGTATAAGTTAGACGGGAGCCAATTGACCCGCCAGCTTGTCTTTTAGGTCTCGTTCACACCTATACGTATTGCATATGCGCGTCTGTCGCGCATTTTTTTTACTGCGATTCGCGGTAAAAAGTTGCGTGACCGTTGTGCGTTTCCGAAGGCTACTTGGCTGTAGCCCAATGGAAACGCGCAACAAAACGGCCCAAAGTAGTACCTGTACCTTTTACAGGCGTGGGCCGTTTTGTAGCGCGTTTGGGACGGGCGGAAATACGCCAAGGTGGGAACGAGACCATTGAATACAATGGGATTGATATTTTTTAGCGTTTTGTAGAGCGTTCGTCGAGCGTAGAACGCGCTACAAAACGTTCAGGTGTGTAATCGAGGACTTAGAGTGAGGGAGGAAACTGGGGTACACGGAGGAAACCCTCACAATCAATTGACATTGTTTGCAGAAAGTGCTGCCGAATATCATCTATTCAGATCAGTTACCTCGACCCTTCCTGTACCAGTCATTTGCAACTGTTAACTGCAGGGCAGCAGGCACATGTCACAAGCCTGGGGCAGTGTTCAGACATATAGAAAAAGGCTTAAGCTGGTCATACACTGCTCGAATTTCTTTTACTCGAAATTAGATCTGTGGGTAGCCCTGCCGACACCATCCGGATCGACAAAAGTTGATTTTTCAATTTGCTTTTGTCAAAGTAGTTGGGTGGAAAATGATCAGCCGAACAGTGACCGCAGCCAATCATTGACAAAAAGTCAACATCTGCATAGCAATAGCAGCGCTGTTTAGTCTTCCTAGGCTGCATGTTTTCAGGAATGGAGGGCGGCTTTTGACACTGCTGAATGGCTTACCACTATGAAGGCACCACTATATTAGCCAAGAGGAATGGAAAGGTTCACTTTAGGAAAAGCTTTTTCAAGATGCATTGTATTTACTTACTGCTTGTGAACAAAAAAAAATAAAAAATTGAATACTGCAGTGTTCTATCTTCTTGTTTGGAATACAGCTTCAACTACTTTTCCCTCATACGCCTGGGACCTATATTGTTACCATGTTCATTTTTTTTTCTTTATGCATTGCAGGGATGTTGGTGTAATGGTCAAACTATACCAAAATATGACTCCTGTTTTACTTCACAATTCACAGCTCGACAATCGAAAGGTAGAAGTCTAATCTGTACTTAAACATTCTCATTGGTTAAGGATGCATGGATCTGATCCTGCTGCCCAAAATTAAGTTGATCACCGCAACTGTTGTTATAGTGTATTTTCAGTAGATACAAATTCATAGGAGGGAAAAAAAATGTAATTTGACTTTAATAGTTTATTATAATTGCCGTTACAGGTTTTGTAAACCCATTTCTAGTTGCTAAGATATGTGTACACGTATAAGGGAATGTGGATAGCATCTCTGCCTAGTGACTGCAGAGATGAGCTCAGGCTTTTAAAGACTCTGTTGTGTTTTATTAAGGTGAGACCTGGCACATCCACTTCCAATGTAGGAGCAATGAGCTGTAGTCATTGTGGAACACTACTAAGCAGGAAGAAGAGTCTGCGTATGAGATGACACATTTGGCTTCCCCCATGTGTACATGCAAAGTTACAAACACATGCACAGACAGTATGGGGTCTATACATAAACAATTTGCAGGGCCGTTCGCCCTGCCCATATCTATAAACGTATGTTTTATGTGCATGCATGCAAAAGGAATGTTCTTTAGTTTGTTTTGAATGTAATTCTGAATGTTAGCGTAATTATGTAATGTAGTATTGCATTATGGCCTCTAGATGGAGCTGAGGAGCATAGAAAATAAATACTTATTTCCTAAGCTCCAGTGACCATAATGCAATACATTTATTTATTACAGGAATTTATATAGTGCCAACAATTTACACAGCACTTTACATAGTTGCACATTCACATCAGTCTCTGTCCTTAAAGAGCTTACAATCTAAAGTCCCTATCTCGCATACATAGGAGGGTCAATTTAGACAGGAGCCAATTAACCTATCAGCATGTCTTTGGAGTGTGGGAGGACTGGAGTACCCGGAGGAAATCCACATAAGGCGAACATGCAAACTCCTTGCAGATAGTTACCTAACCGGGATTACATTAAAGTGACACTAAACTAAATCTTAAAAATGCATTCAAGTACCCTAACTATTAACAAAAATGTATCTGATTTGTGTATCACTCAGCTGCTGACACTGTCCTTCCTTCTGGAGGGTGGCTACTTTTGTCCCCCATGGTCCCTGTGTGTGTTATAAAGTAGTCACCGCTCCAAACTCACTCCTGTGATGGACTACAATCTCATGTTTAATTTACTAATTTGTATTGAGATTGTAGTTCATCACAGGAGTGAGCTTGGAGCGGTGGCTACTTTATAACACACACAGGGACCATGGGGAACAAAAGTAGGCACCCTCCAGAAGGAAGGACAGTGTCGGCACTAATTCAGAGATGATTTGAGGATCTACATTACTTATGCATGTATTCACACAAAATGAAAAAAATTCGGCCCTGTGAATTGCTTATAAATAGACCCCTATGTTTTTAAATCTGCAACTCTTATTAAGTTTTAAATCAAGACAGTCACATTGACATATCTAGTTTAAAAAAAAAGAAAACTTTAGCTTTCCTTCGAAAGAATAAATACATTTAAACGGACTGTTGCCAAACTAAACTTTCCATTCAAAGCTTTCCCTATATAGAAAATAATACTTCTCCTCTTGCCCATGTAAAGAAATCGCTCAATAACCAAAATTTCTGTGAGTGTCGATCTCCTGGTCTCAGTGGTTCCTTCTGCCGACCTCCTTGTTACTACTGTGTCCTGTAGTTATGTGGGGCTCAGTAGGAGGAACCACGGTGCACAGTGGGACTAGGATATTGACTCTACTGGAAATGTGGGTTTCTTAAGGATTTCTCTGTAATGAAGCTTGGAAGTGTGGGCAGCAGGAGAGGTAAGTACGATCTTCTTTTCAGGAAGAGCTGAAAACCCCACTGTAGACTTTGATTACAGCAATTAAGTGGCTTAAAGAAGAACTCCGGGCAAAACTTCCATGAACCCTTGCTGTGGGGCTACCCCCGCACCTCAAGGGTTAACTGTTTTCATCTAGGTGCTAAAATTAAAAAGTTATACTCGTGTGATCCTAGGAGCCGACTTGCTCTTAGACCGGTCTATCCAGCAATGGTTAAAAAGCGTTTTGCCTGGAGTTATTCTTTAATAAATGTATAAAGCAGGGCTGGACAAATCCCAGGAGCCAGATAGCCAATTCTCCCTAAAAAAAAGACATCTGGTGAAATTTTGAGGCTTTCTTGTTGTCAATGGAGCTGACTCTTAAAAACAAAATCCTGCCGATTCCTTGTTCCGGTATTGGCCAGACTGGCTCCTGAATTCTATATTCATTTGTCTACCGCTGGTATAAAGTATGAGCAAGCGTGGCATTCTGATAAATGCCGTTGGTGCAAAAAATGGGGAAACGCTCTGTAGTCTGAGATTCCAACACTCGCAAAGCATTAACAGTCTGTTAAAACTGCTTCAAGGAGAATTTAAAGTCTTTTCAATATTTTATTGTAGATAAACCTGAAACATGAATGAGATCAGGTTGATGTAAATAGTTCTATCCGTATCTGTTTTGTCATTTGTATTTTAGCAATCTGCTAAATACACAGATGAAATACAAATAAGAGAGCTCTCTTACCTGCCAAGGGATTTGTACTTCGGTTCATCCATTTCTAAGCTGTGCCACGCAGCACAAGTCTGTCTGGCAGGAGAGCTAGTTTTCCTATACACATACAGGTCATGGCCCTCCCCCAGCCTGTGACTGTACAATGAAAGGAGAAGCGGACTTTGTGCTGCTTCTCTCTTCTAATCTGAGCTCTGCTGTACGAGGGGAATTGCAAGAGGCTAATTCTAGCTCAAATGCATGTACTGATACTATGTGCTTATAAAGGCTGCAGTTATGTGCGCAGGGCAGCCATCAGGGGGGTACGGCCAATACTCATGTAAGGGGCCCGAGCAGCCTGGGGGGCCCGCCCGGGACCCTTACATGAGTATCGGCCGATGGTAAAGAGCGAGGAGGCGGACAGGCCCCTGCAGCGGCGGTGGAGGCCTGGCCCTAGCAGTGCAGGGCGCCAGCATTGCCGCTCCAGCGTCTTCGATACAAGCTGGGGCCCCATCAGCGATGCTGCTCGTGACGCCACTTCCAGCCAGTCCAGCGGCAGAGGAAGCCTGGTGTGCAGGTAAGAGGAGCTAGGAAGGAGGGAGGGGGATGACTCTTTCCCGTTCCCTCTCTCTTTCCCGTTCCCTCTCCGTGCCCCCTTTCCCTCTCCGCGCGCCCTTTGCCTCTCCGCGCGCCCTTTGCCTCTCCGCGCGCCCTTTGCCTCTCCTTCCCTTGCCGCACGCCCTTTCCCTTGCCGCGCACCCCTTCCCTCGCGCCCTTTCCCTCTCCTTCCCTCGCCGCGCGCCCTTTCCCTCTCCTTCCCTCGCCGCGCGCCCTTTCCCTCTCCTTCCCTCGCCGCGCGCCCTTTCCCTCTCCTTCCCTCGCCGCGCGCCCTTTCCCTCTCCTTCCCTCGCCGCGCGCCCTTTCCCTCTCCTTCCCTCGCCGCGCGCCCTTTCCCTCTCCTTCCCTCGCCGCGCGCCCTTTCCCTCTCCTTCCCTCGCCGCGCGCCCTTTCCCTCTCCTTCCCTCGCCGCGCGCCCTTTCCCTCTCCTTCCCTCGCCGCGCGCCCTTTCCCTCTCCTTCCCTCGCCGCGCGCCCTTTCCCTCTCCTTCCCTCGCCGCGCGCCCTTTCCCTCTCCTTCCCTCGCCGCGCGCCCTTTCCCTCTCCTTCCCTCGCCGCGCGCCCTTTCCCTCTCCTTCCCTCGCCGCGCGCCCTTTCCCTCTCCTTCCCTCGCCGCGCGCCCTTTCCCTCTCCTTCCCTCGCCGCGCGCCCTTTCCCTCTCCTTCCCTCGCCGCGCGCCCTTTCCCTCTCCTTCCCTCGCCGCGCGCCCTTTCCCTCTCCTTCCCTCGCCGCGCGCCCTTTCCCTCTCCTTCCCTCGCCGCGCGCCCTTTCCCTCTCCTTCCCTCGCCGCGCGCCCTTTCCCTCTCCTTCCCTCGCCGCGCGCCCTTTCCCTCTCCTTCCCTCGCCGCGCGCCCTTTCCCTCTCCTTCCCTCGCCGCGCGCCCTTTCCCTCTCCTTCCCTCGCCGCGCGCCCTTTCCCTCTCCTTCCCTCGCCGCGCGCCCTTTCCCTCTCCTTCCCTCGCCGCGCGCCCTTTCCCTCTCCTTCCCTCGCCGCGCGCCCTTTCCCTCTCCTTCCCTCGCCGCGCGCCCTTTCCCTCTCCTTCCCTCGCCGCGCGCCCTTTCCCTCTCCTTCCCTCGCCGCGCGCCCTTTCCCTCTCCTTCCCTCGCCGCGCGCCCTTTCCCTCTCCTTCCCTCGCCGCGCGCCCTTTCCCTCTCCTTCCCTCGCCGCGCGCCCTTTCCCTCTCCTTCCCTCGCCGCGCGCCCTTTCCCTCTCCTTCCCTCGCCGCGCGCCCTTTCCCTCTCCTTCCCTCGCCGCGCGCCCTTTCCCTCTCCTTCCCTCGCCGCGCGCCCTTTCCCTCTCCTTCCCTCGCCGCGCGCCCTTTCCCTCTCCTTCCCTCGCCGCGCGCCCTTTCCCTCTCCTTCCCTCGCCGCGCGCCCTTTCCCTCTCCTTCCCTCGCCGCGCGCCCTTTCCCTCTCCTTCCCTCGCCCTTTCCCTCTCGCGCGCCCCTTCCCTCTCTCGCCCCCTTTCCCCTCTCCTTCCCTCTCTCGCCCCCTTTCCCCTCTCCTTCCCTCGCATGCTCTTGCTCTCTCGCTCACTCTCGTTCACTCGCCCGCTCTCGTTAGTTCTCTTTCTCTTGTTCTATATTTGTTTGCTCTTTTTGCCTCTCCTGCATGATACCTAACTCAAAGAACATTTGTTTTTAGGTTGATCGTTCAGAAGTGAGCTTTAGTATTGGTTGGAAACCTGTGTTATTACTTTCTTTGTTTCTGCACTGAAGTATGTAAATGTAATGGATTGAATGATTTTTGGGGTGTCTTTCCCTGACATTCTTTTTTATTTTTAATTCTAGATAAGACATGCTAGTGCACTAGGTTTTGAAGTCGGTCAAGAAATTCAGGTACTGTATCCACACATGTGGTAAGACAGCAGGGAAAACACTTGCTATTTCATGTAGCCCATAAATGAGTTAGGAAATGTCAAATACACAAATATTAAAGAGAATAAGCTGGTGATTAAAAACCCTTAAATGTGTGTTTCAATTCTGGTTGGATGCCATTAAATTTGCCCACTGACTTTTCATACCATTATGCAGTCTGGCTAAGGGGGGTCTTACTCTTTTTGCTGCATGAACTCTAATGGGAGATGGGAAATCCACTGATGATAGGTTTGGCTTTGAATTCAAGTGTAGAGATTTGCTGACTGAGCACTGAGAGATAAAGGGATCGACAGGTGATTATACCCAAAACTGCTTTCATTTCTGCTCAGCAGAAGCTTAGAATAATTCTTATAATGGCAGAAAAGCCTTGTCAATGATAATTAAAGGTTTTTTCATAAGTAAAAAAAATGTGCTATTGGCAGGGTGCGTTATACTGCTGAAAGAGACCACTGCCATCGGGGAATACTATTTCCATAAAGAGGTGTTCTTGATCAGCATCAATGTTTAGGTAGGTGATATGTGTCAAAGTAACATCCACAATAATGGCAGGACCCAAGGTTTCCCAGCAGAACATTACCAAAAGCATCACACTGCCTCCTCCAGCTTACCTTCTTCCCATAGTGCATCCTGGTGCCATCTCTTCCCCAGGTAAGCGATACACACGCACCCTGCCATCCCCATGGTGTAAAAGAAAATATGGTTCATCAGACCAGGCCACCTTCTTCCATTTCTCTGTGGTCGTTTTGCTGCTCATTTGCCCATTGTAGGCACTTTTGGGGGTGGACACGGGTTAGCAAAGGCACAGTGACCAGTTTGCATCTACGCAGACCCATACGCAACAAATTGTGATGCGCTGTGCGTTCAGACACCTTTCTATTAGGACCAGCATTAACTTTTTCAGCAATTTGAGATACAGTAGCTCTTTTATTGGATTAGACTACACGGATCAGCCGTTGCTCCCCACGTGAATCTTGGCCACTCATGACCCTTTTGCCAGTAGGTCCTGACCACTGTAGACTAGGAACATCCCACAAGAGCTGCAGTTTTGGAGTTGCTCTGAGCCAGTTGTCTAGCCATCACAATTTGGCCCTTATCAAAGTCACTCAAATCCTTAAAGGAGAACTATGGGGTTAGGGCTTTTCCCCATAGTTCTCCTTAGGGTAACGGGAGGACACAAACTAACGTCCTCCCATCACCCTAAGCTCAGTATACCGCGAGCTACAGCTGGAGATATACTGAGACGCCAAAGCTGAAGCGAATCCCGACAATTATGTCTGGATCCGCCCAGCTGCGTGAGTGACAGCTGGCTCTGCCTATATAGAGGCAGAGCCAGCTGTACCCTCCCCTGTCTGTTCCGCCAGTCAGCGCTGGAGGATCGGAGGGGGGAATCCAGCCCCTCCCCTGTTACGGCAGAGAGCCGTGACAGGATCGAGAAGTGAGCGAACGCTGGTATGTGTTCCCTCACCTCCCGATCTACTGAGCCGACCTGTGACAGTTTCAATGTCGCAAGTCGGCTAGAACTATGAGGTGAGTGAAAAGCACTCGCCTCATAGTTCTCCTTTTAAGCTTGCCCATTTTTTTCTGCTTCCAACACATCAACTTCGGAGACAAAATGTTCACTTGCTGCCTAATATATCCCACCCATTTCCTGGTGTCATTGTAAAGAGATAATCCATGTTGTTCACTTCACTGCTCCATATTCATAATGTAATGGCTGATCAGTGTATGCTACAATCACTGTTTGAATTTCATTCAAGTTTCCATTCTGCTTTAGAAAACCTAACAAATGTTCTGAAAGCGATTTTTTTTTTTTTTTT